ACGGAGAACAATTTCCGCAACTTTTCGCAAGGCAGGAGGCGAACAAAGCCGCACACAACTTACATACGTGGGTGGTCGTTTCCCTCATCGGCTGAGAGCATTACAATCTCCAGTGCATTTTTACCCCATTTCGCCTTCCTTTTAGACTTGAAGGATGCACCAATCCCTGTTTTTCACATTCATCGTATATATGCTGTCATGTGCCTGGAGCAACCTGTAACGAATGAGATTGTTTGTTGGCCACGTAAGAGCTTCCTCAATGTCCTAAATGCAAAGACATTACCATTTCCGATACTTCCCCTAATGACCTAATTATTAGCCCGCCAATGTTCTCAGTATTATTGTTCTCATCGTCCTCTTGTGAAATATTCGAGTTTTACGCTATCAGGCAAGTTAGTTTGTTCCTTCCCTCCTGAGTAGTCTTTGGCAGAGTTGGACGTCTGGCTTTTTGTTCCATGAGACGGACGGCGTTCTGTTCTGTTCAGTCTGTCCTGTAGGTCTGTTGGTACTTGTATTTACTTTTATCCCGTTCTTCTCCGAGGTCTTCTTCAAAATAGCTACCACCTTACTGTCTCATCGTTGAAGCGTTTCCATACGTGGTGCGGGATCTCAAGGACTGTCTTTGTTGGCTTCTTAGTGATCAACCCTTTGATGATTGTCCGAACTCCGCTTCAAGAAATACTTGCTACGTTTTTTACCTTCGCTAGTGGTCCCTCGCTATGGCCAAGTCTATTTTATGCACTCATTTTCAGTGTAAAGAGGAAAGCCTTCCGCCGCAAACGTCATTAGCAAACACTAACTAAGCAGTTACAAACTATTGAACAGGAAAGTAAACATCTCATAAGCACCTTGTTTTTAAAAACTGAGCATTCTAGCCCGTCTTCTTGGACTTTCGCGAATATTCATTGACTATCACGCAACTGTAACCGAACGCTGCAAAGTAGCCCCACAAGTTCTGCAATAAACCCTATTTTTCATTAGACTCGAGGAGGAGTTACGAGGAAACCGCATACTACTCGCATGCCCCATCAGTAGTGTCCGCCGGTACATCCGTAGTGATCCTGACCCTACAGAACCATTGTTGTATTATGTTATGTCATTTATGTTTACTTCTATTGCCCTTAGAAGCAATCTTTCGTTTAAGATTCTTGTGTAAAGCGTCTATCGTCAGGTCAGGTAAAATAAAAAGGCTTACCTTACATCGAGGTGTATGTCAAAGTTTTAGATCGATCGTTTACTGAGCTAGAATCGACAAACTTTTATGATCCTGTTTGGAGAACACTTTTTTTTAGGTTAGTAAGATGTCTGAAGGTCTCTGCAATCACTGGTTATATGCGTGCTCAACTAATCTATCACAACCACCCAAACAGTTCAAGCGAGTTAAGAATGCCTAAACAGAAGAAGATCATTCGTCAAAACATGTTATCAATCTGGGAAAATAGACACAACGTAAAAATTACATTCTGTTCTTTTCTACACAGCACCGGTTTCCCCAAACACTTGCCTGTGGCGCTTCTGGACAACACCACCCATTCTGTGTTTGGATCGCATTGTCATTACCTGAGCCGATTCAAAGAATCTTTTCATACGCTGAGTGAATTTATCAACCAAACCTGCCATGCGAATGTTCTAACTCTCGCTGTGTCAAACCATCCATGGTTTATTTGGTCCTCTTGATAGAGAGTTGTACTGTTTTTCTCCGTTCACTTCGGTGGCTTTTGTGACAAAGTGAATGGTTGTTACCTGAATCAGATTTGTTGAACATTGCTGGACAGACTCAGACGAATGGTATGGCGCCGATGCTGGTGTTGCGTGCGTATTCTTGACGCCGATGTAGACCCAAAGAGGCAAAATTAGCAGGTGGCAGGCCTGCGACAAACCACCAGCCCGTTTAAACATGAAGCACCGGTACCAGGTCTTGGGGTCATCAGCCAAGTCTTTTAAATTCCAGCCATCAATGCCCTATCAGAGTATCTGAAGACATTTATCGAGCGTAAGACGACAGTATGTCAGACAAGTGCTGGTTAGGAAATGAAACGAACTCAACTTAAACTCAGTTATTCCCATTAAGCAAATAGGACGGTGTGAGCACGCTGCTGGTTCAAAGTCTGATCTTACTAAAAAGTATGTGTCTACTGGTGACCGAAAAGACTGTTCCTAGTAAGGCATGTGAGCTAACAAGTTTCTGCAATGTAGAGACTTTTAGATGATCCCTTACATTCAGATGCGTGGATGCTCAAGACTTCTCACTCCTGTCGGTGGTGCTTATTCCGAAACTCTCTAAAGTTTCATGTACACGCAGGACCCACAATAAGAAGTGCGATTCTTTCAGCCCTACATCAAGGCTTTCCTAGCAGCGATATTTCGAAATTTACGAATTCTCACTATGATCTTTAGCTAACCGTAGACAACTTGTTTTGAGAGAAACCTGAGTGTATTCGAATTCCTGAGTTCCGGATCCGGTCTGCCGAAATGAGGCGAAGGGCTCTGTGTAGATATTGAAGGAAGTTAACCGTGCTCCTGAACTTATCAGATGTAGGGTGTCTGGGTTTCCACGGTTAGCGCCCGATGTATTGCGATCCTGTCCTCATACATGATTGGTATTTGCTCTGGTATTTCTGAAGACGGTCAAGAGTCTTGTGGAATTTCGCGTTTCCCGAGTTCAGCACACCATCAAGCAGTATGATTGCTCAGCGCAAGACAAGTTGGTGACTTCATACATTTTCATGATTGGTTTCATACGCTCGGCCAATTATCCCCTTGACCAGAGCACGGTAATGTAGGCTGAATAATGCACTAAAGATTCGTTCTAGTGGTCAACTTGATTCGTACAGTTTTGAGAAACGGTATAGCCGAGGGAGACATACAGCCAGTCAATCAATCGCGCTAAAAAGCTTGAGTGTCAGTGTATTTTTATTGCTTAGGGCGTCATTTTTAGATGGGCGTTTCCATCACCGTCTGATTGTCTCTCATGGTTTCAGTTTCCTTAAATTTGGAACTGCACGTCAAAAATCTATTCACCTCGTTATATAGTCAGACGTCCATCAGAACGATTAGCGTTTATCTATTGGGTCTTTATAGCTGAATATCCGATTGAACTCCCAAGGTCTTTAATCTTTGTTGCTTGAATTTGGTATGGTAGGGCACTCTGTGCTGTGCGCAGTAGCATTGAAAGTCAAGCTTCCTTGTCTTAATTCCTATGCCAAATCGTTAGCCACTTACATTGCTCTATGGTTCAGACCTTGAGGTTGGAGGCTCGAAAGGGAACAGTCAAAATGAGCCCACTAGTCAGGTGGCTTTAGTTTCAAAGAGAAGTGGAACTTACATTGCTCTATGGTTCAGACCTTGAGGCTGGAGGCTCGAAAGGGAACAGTCAAAATAAGCTCACTAGTCAGGTGGCTTTAGTTTCAAAGATAAGTGGAACGTACACTCACTTGCAAACTAATTTGGTTATTCGAGAGACTTACCTGGAACCCAGCTGCATCTCTCGTTTGTGATGTTCTCAGGCAACTGAATGTGCTGCACCAGGCCGCCTCATGTTTCAGTCGCTACGATATTTGAAATATCGCGATACATGTATATTTGTAGTGTACTACTCAAAGGGTTGCTGAAAAACCATCGACAACCCACGACCGGTTTCGCCCTTCTTGGGGCTCATCAGGTATGCACAATCCCCGGATTTCCGTCAACCTCATGTTCTAGTTGAAACCAAACTGCACGAAATTAGCGAACTAATTTGGTTTTTCGGGAGATACAAAGTGTTGTTGGTGGATAGTACGTTTGGTAGCTTGAAATTTTGCTCAATGTTTTTATAAACAAACGAGGTAACATCATCACTTGTAACGTCTCAAGCAAAGCCGTCAGATGCGCAGTTTGACAGGCGATTTATTAGGCGCACTAGAACAGCAACCAAAAATGCGAGCAGCTCGGGTGATACCAGTGTGAACATGACACGCAGTCAACTAATGCGGAGTGATTTCACAAAAAATGGGGAAATAGCAGTCAGTTCACGAGCCACTATTTAGAACGGTTGATAGTTTTGTATGCTTCTGTTCTACCGCGATGTGCATCGAGGCCTCCTACAAGGTGAACGAAAGTGCATCTGATAGTGGCCCTTTTAGCCAACTGCGCTGCATTCTCTGAGACGCCGCGACGTTTTCCTCCGTTGGACTACGATCTTCAATGCTGTTACCACCGTCTGCGATCTCCAGTGTTAGTTCTTCTCTGTTTTAAATTATCAGCATACAGTTCGACGTTGAAATACAAAGCACCGCAAGATCATGCGATAGCAAAAAAAACTTGTCGGTTTATTGGTGGGAGAGCCAGTGGCGCAGACGCGCTGGAAATCTGCCGTCCAGGTTCAATAGGCATGAGGGTCGAACATGCATCCAGGATGTTCGAAGGGCGGTTTATCAACACCGGAGGCTCACTAGACATCCGACACACACACACACACACTTGCACCACACGAGTCACCAGAAAGAACCGTTCATGTTGCTGATTCGGGGATTAGCGACATCATTCCCATTTTGGAGAAAGACCATGTTCGGAAAAGTTCACTTTCCTCGTCCCTGTAGAAAGAAATTACAGTGGTTTGGTATCTGGTGAGAGTGGCGGTTACCCGGGAAAATTCTTACTTTCTAATCCGCCTACCTTACCCGTAGAGATCACTAAGGGACTAGTAGTAACGATAGTATTAAGAACTTATCCTAACACACACATGGTTAATCACAATAGGGCATTGTGGCCTTTCATAAAGTTCAGCATTTGTGCTCTCTCGGAATTAAGTACGGTAACACCATAGTTTTGATGTATGAGTCGCAGTACAGAGTCTGTTTTGAAGTGTCTTGAAATCATGCCTTAATTTAATTCATTTTGGTAAGATTATTAACCAACCTTTCCGGAGTTCAGGTAATAGTGTACGTTGGGGGTGAAATGGCTCAGTGGTTAGAGAGCGAATTTACTGACCGGGAGGTTCGTGGTTCGAACCCGACCTGTGCCTATCGACTTCCCCTGTCTAGGCTTGGGCAACCTAGCAGTATCCCAGCCCTCGTGCTCCGTTCAGGTGGCATGACAGCTAGGCACCGAAAGGGTGCTACAGCTGAAAGAATAGTGTGTGTGCAAATTGGCAACAGCTGTAAACAAAGCTATCAGAGACTATAAGGCACTGCTACCTTGACTGTAAGCAAATCCTCGATAGGATGAAAAACAGCGTGGAAGATGGCTTGCAAATACTTAATCCATCCGAAATTACGTGAAGCCACTGTCTTTCAATATACTGTGACCTGTTTTTTCTTCAAAATTCATAGCCAACTTGCTAGGCGTCTGACAAAAATTCCCCCGATAGTACAGCAGGTTTTTTTAGAATGAACGTCTACGATGGCTTGCTATACTTCAGTTGGGCAATGGTGAATGTATCCCAAGTACCGGTTTAGTGGCCGTGGTCCCAAAGAAATGAGAGAATGGAATAACGACGGGGCACGTGGAAGGCCAAAAGCATTTCCAATGTGTTTGGAAAACAGGTGTCCACTGAGTTGTTCCACCAAGAATTTAGAGAGTATACGGTCGAAGCGCGCGCACGCCTATCATAAGCATCTTTAAATTCTCTCCCGATGTCAGCAAGCTACCCAATACTCGCTGACCAGTTCGGAGTAGATTTTAGCACGTGGATTGTACACACTACAAGGTGAGCGAATGGTCTGTGGGCTGGTTTGGCGCCGGCTTTGTGTGCTTGCTAGTGTAGTTTATCCGCATTTTGGACGTCCACAAAGACCCATGGATATCCACGAAAACTTTAGTAAAAATAGATGGTCCCTTGAACAGCACCTTCACAACAAATGTTGGTATTTTAAATACACTTCAAGGTTTTGTAATTAGCAGTTGTTAAAACTGAACCGACTTTGTGCACATTTTCAATTACAGCTGTGTTGAGTGCTTGTCGCTATTCAGTAGGCTTCATATTTCCTTAGTGTTGTGTATTTGCTTGATTTTTATTTCAATTTTGCTACACCCTGGTAGGACTCTCACATACACTGAAGGTGAATGTGAATTAAGTATAAACTACTTACTAATTCCAAGTAGCCAAATGAGTGAAGCAAATTGCTTAAACAGTCACGTGGTAGACGTGATGATTTTGGATATTCCAGATTTTTTATTTTTAGGTCCATCCCGACCTTTCGTAATGAGGTGAGATACTAAGTGAAACAGTGTTGAGCCATCTGTATGTCATATGAATTTTTCGAGAGACTGACGAGATGCCTCGTCCTGCTGTCGACTCTCTAACTTTGCAAAACGCGTGTTTGAATTTGGTTAGCTCGTCGATTATACGAATTTGTATACAAAACCTGTGTGTTAACATATTGCTGGGCACTGTTTTTGATAGTGAGCATGCGGCTTTTTATTAAGCTGACCAAAGCATGTCAGATCTTGGACTTTTGTGATTTGTCTTAGAGAAAACGTAAGTGGTGGCATCGAAATCGGACTTGTTGTGTGGATTGATCACTGCAAGCGGAGGTCCAGTTCTGAATGATGAAAACCCAGACCGAGGGGAAGGGTGATGATTTGTCTTCACCATATGGTCACGTAATTTATTGTTGTCAATAAACGGCTAAATCGATAGATTGCACAGTCTTTCGGGATAAAATAACTCTGGCAGTCCAAAGACATCAAAATTATGCCTTGTGCTATATTGCAATGCATGGAAAGAATAAACAACAAGTAATTGTTCGGGAAATACCAGTCGTGAATAGAAGCAAGTAAAATGCTACTTACAGTCTGCTTTGTCTCGCATAACTAAAAAGCAGAACGATCGATAGTATTATCTTCGAAAAACATTCCTGTATGGATGTAATAAAGAGTGTGAGGGCTTTTTTGGGTTCGCCTGTTGATAACTTTCCACCACGGATTCCCTGATGATATCTTTCGGCCTTCTAGTCTAGGTTCCACATTACAAAGTACATTGTTGTCTGCCAATTTCATAAATAAGATTTGTTTCGGTGGAAAAGGTATTGAATCACTTACCGCAAGGTCCTGGCTCCTGTTGATCGCCCTGTTCGGTTGATGAGAATAGAACCACGCAGTTATCTTCCAGTGACGTGTCTATATTGTTTATGAGCACTAAGTGGTTATCTGTTTGCAACTAAAATATAATTGAGGTGTATCAGTACCAGTGCGAAAACGCATGCTACTGATGAGGCTTGCGAGTAGTCTGTGGTCGTGTTGAAGCTCCACCAAGCGTCTAATGGAAGGTGAACTTTATTACGGAACTTGTGTAATTTCTGTGCAATGTTCGTTTACAGTTGTGTAACAGTTAATGAATATCCATGGAAGTTAAAGAAGACACGTGAGGATGTTCAGGTTTTGAAACTAATGTGAACTGAGATTTTCCGCTTCTGTCCACCAGCTTTTAACTGGTTAGTTGGCGTTTGTTAATGAATGACATCGCGGCGAAGGGTTTTTCCCCTTTCACCGGTTCTTGCTGTTTTTGTGTGCAGTCCGGTGCAATCTGTGGAAACGTAGTTCAACATCTGCTCACTTTCGGCACATGAGCGCAAGGTGTACAGATAACAAGCACGTCCAATTCAGAATGGTATGCTCGACCACGAGGACGTTCAAACCACCGTTAGGTGTGTGGCATGGAATAAATTCCTCTGCTGAGCAGAAATATCAGATACTTAACCCAATGGATGACAAGAAACACGGCGCTGTTTTGACCAGCTCTATTGAATATACAAACAAAATGTCTTAAATTCAAAACAAACCGACATGGCTTCGAAAATACCACGAATGTCTTACTGACTACCAACATCTTAACCCCATGAGTTCCACTTTATGGTAGAGCGGATAGTCAAACTGATCAAGTCTGTAACATTCTGGTAATGTTCTTAGTCTTGAGGACTTCACTAATTGTGCGCAGCTAATGAAACAGTTGGACATCCAGTACAAGCTACTGGCATCCAATATCTACATTTCAAAGTCCTCACCGATGGCTTCCCACAGCAATTTACATTTGCACTCCAAAGACTGCATAAAAGACAAAGAGTTTTGCATTCATTACTACTTATTATGGATACGTAGACGGTGTTGTCATGGCGAGTCTCCTTCGGTCAGTATTGACAAATACAATCATCAACGATATTGACTGCGTAATATCAGGAACCAACTTTCCAATTGCATGGCACATGAACGACGCTTTCGCCATGTGTTCAGGGCGTGAACAGGTCCAATGGTTCCCCAGTATCCCTTAACCTGCCTTAGAAAGATTTAATTAGGTTAAGTAGAGTAAATGGATGGTTTTGAAAGAAACCTTAGGCGTTCCGACCTAAGGCAAAAAAGGATTAAGTGCCTAGTTTATCGATCCGGCTATATCTGCCGAGCCGGATTCACCAGCAGGAGAGTGAGTCACTTTGAGGCAGGCACAGTCAAACGAATACCTCAGATTTGAACAGTCAAAGACAGGTAGTGAAATTCCTAATAGTTAGCACTTGATCCAGCAGTGGCCTCCAGATGCCTTTCAAATTGAAACTAAAATATTTAGTGAACACTGTTGACGTTGTTGTTCATCTTCCTTCACTCAACGCTGCGTCAACCCATTGAAATGTTGAGTTGTCCCCCATTTCTGGTTTGTTTACTCGTTGCCGGTTTTCATCTTTACCATGCCTTAAACTGACGACTAAATTGTCATCTACATAAAGGAGACTACTCACAAGGTTGCTGAAACCTCTTCGCCAGCCCACGATCGGTTTCGCCTTTCTNCGCACCAGAAAATGCTATCATAGAGAGCCACAACTGTGATGGACCGGCGATTGCAGATGACAAAGACTAAATGACAATTTTCGAGAAATACACTCATTTGCAAACTAATTTGGTTTTTTCGGGGTACTCAAATGAATCTCTCGTTTATGGTTTCATGGAATCTGGTTTCAAGTAAAACATAAGGTTGACGGAAACTCGGGGACTCCCCCTACCTGATGAGCCCCGAGAAGGGCGAAACCGGTCGTGGGCTGTCGAAGAGTTTTCAGTAATCTTGTGAGTAGCTTCCTTTATGAAAATATACTGCGATATCTCGAATATCGTTCCAACTGAAACAATGGGGCGGCCTGCGTGAAGCACATTCAGGTGGAGAACATCATAAACGAGAGATTCAGTTGAGTCCCCCGTGAAAACCAAATTGATTTGCAAATGAGTGTATTTCTCGAAAATTGTCATTTAGTCTTTGTCATCTGCAATCGCCGGTCCATCACAGTTGTGGCTCTCTATGATAGCATTTTCTGGTGCGCTGACCGGAGGTTTTCGTACACGCTTCTCCTTCAGTTTAATCGACGACAGATACAAACCAGCGATTCTATACTCTTCAGAGAATGCAACATTCATGGGTATACATACACATAGATACACCGCATTTGATATCTTTGGTTGAGAGAACAAATGCTGGAGGGAAATTATAGAGATATTGGCAAGTTAATTTCTTATGAATGGTTCCTACTCAATAACAGATTGGAGCGAACGTGTACCCCCAATGAAAATCCACAATTGGTCTGACGCTATAACAATCAGAAAGCTGAAAGTTGTGTTCAAGGTCCCGTAGGGACGTTCAACTCACTGAAGTGTGCATTTTGTGTGGATTTATTTGGCGAACGGTTCATCTGAGGGAAACGTTTGAAGGTATTCGGTAATTTTGCATGAGGATTTTATTCTTTGAGAAGCCGAGGAGCGCTGTACCGCTACTCCAACTTCACTGTGGATCATCGCACGAAGCTCAAGGGGCTATCGAACCCGCGACTATCCGGCCAATACTTCGCCGCTTGAAATTCCGGACACGAGCGGCTGAACAGCAGTACGATTAGTTCACATTAAGACGGGGTTTAGCGCCGTTCATCGTCTAATCACAGAAGCCACATCACGTGGTCGCGTATTGATTGGCTTCTCGAGTGAAGACTTCTCAGATGGAACTGTTTTTCCTGGTGATACTGAGAATTAAGTATTCACGTCCAAAATTATATGTTTTACACAAAATGCAGTACACTACACAACAAACATGTATAATCAGTGTTTTTTTTTGAGAATGGAGCACTGAAGCAGCTGTCCAGAATTTTCTATGGCTGTCTACCGTAGTTTGATAACCAAATCACCTAGATTTCTGTTGAATCCGGTTGCGATTTTATAGCCGATCGGGTTTTGATAACTTCTAGACTTCGTGAGTTTCGTGTAAATTTTCCGAGCAACCTGCATAGATGTCATTATTTATAACAACTCAATCAATTGTATCAAATTTTACGTGCATTTTACTGCAGCACACGCGTAAATGCCTTTCATATATTCACATGACCAACCCGAACAAAACAAACGGACTGTAAAGCGTCAAAAGTAAGGTGAAAATTCATCCCACCAAACCATATGACATAGAATGGCCTTGGTCGCTATGGTAGCGGTTTTCCACAGACAGTTGGCTTTGTCAAAACAAGGTATACCTTTCTGTTGTGGTTGTCATTTGGTATTGTAAAGTGGGGATCCATCATTAGAAACTAATCTGCTGACTGATTTTTATGCACAAATATGGATGAATTAACTCGATTTGAAATGGCCGCGGAAGGCTTTGAAAGAAAGAAAGTTGCGCATAAACGAGTAGTAGTCATATGATGAGCAGTAGTCATGCATTCCTGAAATAGATCGTCATTGTCCCCAATTAGAATTCTTACTGATAGGAACGATTTCCATGAAAGCAATTTTTCTGGTAATCCGACGTTTTTTGCCGAAGTACATGGTGAATTCCTGCAAAAAAGTCCACCACAGTGAGGTCCCCCAACGCTGCGAGTTATCCATTTTTCTTTATTGTAACCTGAACGGAGATGTAACCCAGCCAGTATAAGGAGGACACTGTTGACAGGCCCGTTCATGATGTATTTCGATGAGGATGTACTTCTGAACGGTAAGACAGAAGTGCGACCAGTATGGGTTAGATAAGAGTGTAGATCTACATTGGTCACTCGGAAACCCCGCAGAACCATAAATCTAAAGCCGATGTTGGAGCTGCTATCAACTACTTACCAGACAAACATAAATGAACAAGTATATCTTTGTGATGTACTACTCATAAGGTTGCTGAAAATCCGTCGAAAGCCCACGACCGGTTTCGCCCTTTTTGGGGCTCATCAGGTAGGCGCAGTCC